CATTTAAAATTGAATGAAATATTAAGTGTTAAAGTAACCCACATAAACTAAATATTATGGAAGAATTTGATTTTCCAAACACTTATCTCACATAAGAAAGTTAGAAAACTTTGGTGTGGTTTATAAGGTTGAAGTTTGGAATTGGGTTTGGGCCCCAAGGGGTACCAATAGTTTTTGGAAGGGGAAAGACCTATATCCTATTGGGTTCGGTCATAAACCCACACGCGTGCGCCGCCACCGCCATCCGTCCGACTGGTCGGCCGGCTTGGCACGGCACGAGAACGTGCCCGTATCCGAGTCCGGTTCGGTGCGGGTGCGGGTGCGGGTGGACCTTTACACTATATTAACTTTTTGGACAAAATTTATTTAAAATTTTGGGCCAAATTGTAAATAATCAAATTTTTGGGTACATTATGAAATTTAAATTTTGGCTTATTCCGGGTGTTTTATTTTCTTTTAACAGTCGACTGTTTACCGACTAAACAATCAACCGTTAACCGACTGTTAGCCGACTGTTAGTCGACTGTTAACTGACTTAACAGACACGACTTTTAAAAATAGCATGTCTGTTCGGATTTTTGAGGCTTGTCTGAAGGGTGATGATTGTTCGAATGGCCACGAACAAGTCTATAAATAGCTAACCTCTCTACCAAAAAATTTACACTATTTTCATTGCAAACTTTCTGTGCTTTGAATCTCATCCTCTTCTCTCTCGTTCTGATATTGTCTCGAAGTAAAACACACTTCGTTGAGTTCGTTGGAACTCCTGCAGATTGCAGTGCTGCTTCCGTAAGAGACGAAAATTCGTTCTATCCTGGGAAACGATTGCTGGACGCCTTTAGCACCATTGAAGGCAAATTCGTTTTAAGGAAACATCGTGAAGTCGATGGGCTCGGATTACTGTTTACATCTTGTTGATAAATTCTTTGCATTCAGATGATTCTGTCGGATTAGTTTCGAAGGAGTAACGTCAAACTCTAGAAACAACACAAAACAGTGTATATAAAAAGCACTTGGATTCTCTTTCAAAATAAGTGCTTTAAGACCATTGTACTCACCTCGCATGTTTCTTGCCCCATCATAACCTTGACCTCTTAAACTAGATATACTTAAGTTCAATCGAGAGAATAAGTGATCAATAGAATTCTTAAGTGAAAGAGCTGTGGTACTAGAGACATGTTCTACTCCAATAAAATGTTCTGTTACTTGTCCTTTTTGATTCACATAACGTAGAACAACGAACATTTGCTCCTTCACTGATACATCACGAGATTCATCAACAAGAATGAAAAATAACCTATCACCAATATCCCTCATAATAACGTCAAGTGTTTCAAATGCAATAGCACTCACAATGTCCTTTTGAATTTTAGGTGATGTTAACTGAAGGTTTTCGGGAGCATTACTCAAACAAACATCCTTAATCTCTTTATTATGATCACATAACCACTGCAAAAATTCAAGAAAATTTCCTTGATTTCTTGAATTTTCTGATTCATCATGTCCACGAAATGAAAGCCCTTGTCGTAGAAGCAATCGAACACAATTAATTGACGCATTCAAATGAATTCGATACTCATCTTTTGTTTTTTTTGACTTCTTAAAGAGAACACAATCAATATTTTGTTTCTGATTCACAAAAGCCTCATACTTAATCTGAGCTCGATTGTGTGCACTACCACTTTGAAGCCTTTCTTTCTTTTTCCAATTTGAGAATCCTCCATCGATAAAAGAATCACCACCACCATGTTCTTCACTATTTGGTTTGAAAAGATAACAATAAAAGCAAAATATGGCATCTTTTGCTATAATGTATTCCAACCAATCAGGAAAGTCATTAAACCACGAAGTTTTAAATCGCCTTAACGACGAATCTTCAAATTCTTTCTGTGGACACAAGTGATTTCGAGGCTGACATGGACCCTTTTGTACGTATGCTCTTCGGATTTCATCCTAAACATTAACATTGTTATTCGCAATTGGAGTTCTTAATCCAAGATCTGAAGGTAATTCTGCTAAATCAATTTTATCCCAAACATCTCTTTGACTCCCGGTATTTGATTCTATTTCTTCTTGGCCATTTTTTGTTTTTTTGAACACTCGTTTCAGAATTAATTTGCTCTCCACTTGAACATTCGAATTTTCGTTTAAAATATTTCTCCATGACTATTAAAAAAAATAAATTCAATACAGAATCACATATCAATAAATAAATAACATATATCAGTTTTCATCAAAACATAACACTAAATTGATAATAAACAACAATTAATTGAATTCCATAAACAATTCTAAATCCCCAAGTTAGAGAAAGACAGCCATTACTTGGAATTGGAATTGGAATTGAGGTCTAACTTCTAAATTCCAGCCTTCCAGCCTCCAGGAACTTCCAGCAGCACTGCAGCAGTGAGTTACTGAGCTCAGTACATAGTAGTCACTGGCACTGCAGTGAAATTAACTTACCGAAAGGCGAAAGTGGAACACGAAGGTGCTGTAGTGCAGAAATCGGTGGAAATTTGGAAAAGGAAAGGTTCGCCCTTCGTGCTTGCCGCCTGCGCCGCTACTGTTTGGGAAGAAATCGGTGGGGACTGGGGACTGGCCGCTGGGGAGAGTAAGAGTTGGGAGACCGGAGACAGGGGAGACGGGGAGTGGAGTGGATTGGAGAGTGGATAATGGGTTGGTCATTGGTCTTAGGAATTGGATTAATTGGATTGGAGTGGATAATAGATTTTCATTGGGCTTATGGGCTGCAGGAAATTTGTTTAATTGATTGATTTAATTGGATTTTGGAACCCCAAACCTAACAAACCGTTTCAGCAGCAGAAACCAAAAAAATAAAAAAATAAACGGTGGGGTCATTTGACCCCACATGACCCCATGTGGGTCTGCCCCTGCATATTTGTAAATTTCTCATACTTGCAAGCAAATTTTGATATATTGATCTACAAAGTTCCTGCAACTGATGTTGAAGCACTGAAATCCCCACTGACGGGGCTATTTGAAAAGCGTCGTCATCGTTCTCAAAAGTTCTTTATATGTGTCCAAGACTTTGAAGAGAGTGATCCCAAATTTCATGAGGGAATGGATTTGAACAAAATCACAGGAAAATGACTTATTGCATATGTGTTCCATCCCTATTTATTATTGAGTCTTTTTGTAACTTTACACTCATTATAAGGTTTTTGACATCTAGCACTTATTTGGTTAAATCCATCAATGATCATTCAACTTTATATTTAGTGTCACCATAATCATTCAATTTGATTTAGTTTCATCATGACCACCAAATTTTATACTTAATATCATCATGGCTACCGAATTTAATTTTGTTTCACCATGGTCACCCAATTTCATATAATATTTCACCATAGCTATCTAATACATATAACAATTAACCATAATTACCTAATTTCTTTTTACTATTTTCACTAATTTTAAAAGGGATAAAATGATAACTTTGTATTATATATATAACAAAATAAATTTAACAAAAAATAATTTTTTAATTTTAAAATAAGTTTTTATTTTATTTTATGTTCTAAGTAACCTTTTTTAAAATAAGTTTTTATTTTATTTTATGTTCTAAGTAACCTTTTTTAAAATAAGTTTTTATTATTTTTCAAATGAACTTTTTTTAAAATAACTTTTTATTTTATATTTTTTTTCTGAGTAACTTTTTTTAAAAATAAGTTTTCATTTCATTTCATTTTATTATTTTAAGTAACGCCTTTTTATATAAGTTTTTATTTTATTCTTTAAAAATAAATATTTTATTTTATTTTTTAAAATAATTTTTTATTCTAATTTTGTTTTTTAAAATTTATTTTTATATATAAAATGAAAAGTTGCCATTTTATCCTTTTAAAATTAGTGAAAATTTTGAAAAAAAAAAAAAGGTTGGCTAGCCATAGTGAAACATAATATAAAATTGAGTGATCATGGTGAACCAGTATATGAAATTAGGTAGCTTTGTTGAAACAAAATCAAATTGGGTAGCCATAGTAACATTAAGTATAAAGTTGGGTGGACATGGTGATTCAATAAAATTGGGTGGTTATGGTGCAATAAATATAAAGTTGGATGGCTGTTGATAAATTTTATCCAACACTTGTTTGGTCCCCATTATTTTCAAATTATATTTTTTTTTTTTAATTTTTAACCACACATTTTTCAATAAAATAATATTACATATAAATAAATAAATAATTTAACCATATATTTTCCATCAAAAATACTATTTCAAAATACATTTTTGACAAAAAAAAAAGGAGGGAGGCATCAAACAGCTCCTAATATAAATATAAATGTATTTTTAATTGATTTTTTTACCTCCATTTTTACAAGCTTCATCTCAATTAGTTTGCTAATAAAACTATTCTTTTGACCATATATGTGTCATCATACAGGGAAAAGGAACTTGCCTAATAACTGAGTAGAGAATATAATTGTAATTGATCACAACTGAATAATTAAAAAAAATGTTGAACCTCAACTTTTAGGGTCCCCACAGCTCCGCCCCTAGAGATTTGTGAGGGAGATAAATTGTGGGATGTGCCTTAGCAAGTCAAGGAACAAAAACTGCCTGTACACTGATCACAATAATTAGTTTGCTTAGATATCTAATAGATTATTTTGAATATCTAAAGCAAAGTTGTTCCAGTACCCATATTGATGCATAAAAAAATCTCTAATTGTATAAAACATTTTTATTGCTCGTATAGTGAAATTCGAGTAATATGAAAGTGATTTAAGATGCAATCAAACAAAATAATAAAATTATGGTCCAGTAATATGAAAGTGAACCAATATCACCATGCCAGTCTGCAATGTGTGTAGATTTGTTTGTGGTGACCCTCTGTGTCCAAATCTATGTTTATTATGACTTACTGTGACCAATTCTGTGTTACTTTGTGACCAATTATGACTTGATCACATATTGTCACTGTTGAGATTGATCTGGTAATGAATAGTTACAATGAATACAATTTTGGTCACAATTAATTAAATTGAAGACAAATTTGATCACAATCAACGCCAAATTAGGGGAGACCCATATGCTCCGTAGATACGTCATGATGAGTAGTGACGTGTGGTGGTGGTCGGTGATCATGGGTCCCACCACCATCGTCGAAAAATGGCTTTGTTGACCGTGAGTTCGCTGAATCGGAAATTGGTTGTAGATCTCAATTTTTTGGGTTGTTTGCTGTAATTGGAACATGTCTTGGTGAGATTGAGTAGCCTATGGGTTGTATGGAGCATGGACATCTATGGATTTGGTCGAATTTGCAATAATACCATGTGTGAGAGACGATTTTTGGGCAAAATTTGGCTCGATTTTGTTGGGATTTGAGGCTAGAATTTGCCTGGGGATATTACGGTTGATGAAGAGATGCTGGTGGTGTTAAAATCCGGTGGCCTTAGTTCCAAAAATTGGGTTCCATGGTTGTTGGCACCTACATTGAAAAGTTTGTATATATTTGTGACTAATTTGTAATTTTTTAAAAATCGGGGACTGTGGTTGCAATTACTTATTTGTTATTTCCTTTCTTTTCTTTTTGTTTTATTTGAATGGAGGGTAAAATTGTCCAAAATTGGTGAAATGGACATTCAGTGTCAGGAAATGTGGAAATATGGGCAAAAATGCCAAAAAATGAAAGGTATTGACGTTTTTCACAATAGACATAAAAGGTTGGGACGTTTTGTGCTAATTACCCTTATTTTAATGAAAAATGTGGTCAAATCACTGTTGAAAAATGTATTTTAATGAAAATAATGAGATTCAAACAAAGGCTATAGAGAGAGAATTAGATTTAACACCTAAATTTTGAAATAATATGATAAGTTTGTTAGTTTTGAAATGTAATAGTTATAGTGTAATAATAATGTATTGTTCCCTAAATTATATCTACACCATAGTTTTGTTATTACACAGTATTTTAATTACAATAAAGATTCTCAATCTTATTTTTGCACTTATATTCTCAAGTTTTTTCATTGTGTTTTTTTAATCTCTTATTAAATAGTACATCTTGTTCCTGATGACAGTAAAAAAATCTGTTAGCATAGAGTAACAGACTTATTTGTGCCCCTCATATTTCAAATTATCAAGATAAACAATAAATACAAAATATTTTCCCATGCTCATAGAATATTTGGACAAAAAAATTTATTTGATACCAGATTTGAAAAAGGAATTGATCCTAATTTTAAACCTGTTCTTTTCATGACCCCAAATACAAAGTAGGGAAATGTTTCTATAACTTCCCTCTGGACCTACCCGCAACCTTATCTAGCTAGATGGGGAAGTCAAATTAATCCTTGTTCATACATAGGCTATTGGACAAAAACCTTGTTTGGCTTCTCATATCAAAGCCAACGTGAGATCCTGTCCCACCTTACTAGAACATGTTGGCCTATTGCGCTTGTAGAAAGTCTCAAATCCAGAATCTTCCACTGCACGAATTTCTTGAAATGAAGTCATAGGCACTAGTTAATTAGAAATTAATGATAAGATTGTGAAAAGAAAAGGAAGGGAAAAGATAAGATAAAAATTGGAGGATTGGTAGAATTCGTAGCCTTCTAATATAATCAAAGAAACTCAAGTCCCACCAACTTGTGCGTCAATGATATATGCATTCAAAAGATAATACACACAAGACCGCTGTCAAAATTAAGCTTATCCAAAAATAGAATTCTATGATCATTCTTGTATCATTGCTTAGAATAAGTATTTGCTTATTTTATTAAACACAAGATAATCATTACTTTCATATTTTACAATGTGGGGCATTGCTAGATGAACATAGAGAATGACATTAAAGTTGACATAGCCCTCACACATGGGGGTTGGCATTTTTTATTCACCCCCGGGCCCACTCATTTTTATGTGAGTTTTATGTCATCCTCTATGTCGTCGGCTACGTTCGTTTAGAATTTTTCGTGGTACAATTGACTCCACGAATTAAGTTCTTGTTCGGTCCTCAAAATTATTTTCAACCACACATGATATCATGGAACTGACAAATATTATCAACTTTTCAACTATACATTTCATCAATTTTTATCGAAATCTAAAAAAAAAAAAAAATTTTGATTTCGAGCAAAATCAAACCGGGCCTAAACATGCCCCACATTAAGCATGTTTGGGTGAACTTGTTTCGAGAAAACAAACTTACTTTTCGATTTTTATTTGGAATTTGGACAACAGGGTATGAACTAAGGAAAAGGGCCCTGTTTGCTCCTCCCTAGTCTATCACGCCGCGTTTTCAATTTTCTCTTTAGACTTGTTAGAAGTACTAGTCTGCGTCTCGTGCGTTGCACGAATTTTGTATTTATTTTTGTTTTATTAGCGTAGAATTTATAGATTGTACAAAAAGTATTTGGAAATAAGAAATGTTTGTTTGATTCTTATCTTTTGGTCAATTGTATATTTTATGTCACGATAATTTTTTTTTATTCTTATAAATAAGTATAATGAATGTTGTGATTGTATATATGTCAACGATAATTTATTTTTAATTATTTTTGGTTTAATGTAGATGAAGATTTTTTTTTATCTGATATTGCAAATAAGTTGTAAATTGAATTTCGCAAAATGCTTTTCTTTAGCAACTTCGATTCGAGAGGCTATATTTGTAGTTCAAAAATAACTCATGCAATTGTAAATTGAAAAAGAATATCTACAT